AAGCTGGGGTTTGATTTTGTTGGACACTTTGCCTTTTGGGTGTTTCTTGGAAGCCACTCCTCCTATGCTACTATACCTGTGCTTTTTAGTCTTGTAGACGATTGGTGAAATGTATGATGATCCTATCATGGCAGTAATGATGATGTTTTGGCTCGGCTTTGGGTACCTCTCCAAGACCGGCTAGTGCCCTAAGGTGCATGGCAGATGTGTTTGCTCTTTCACCCATGATGATCCTGGTTGTCAGAAGGCCAGAAGGATGGGTACTGCCATTCTGTGTCCTCCTTGCTGCCTGATGTTTCCTGAAAGAAAAGGAGGGGTAAACAATTAGAAGTCTTGCAGAGATCAAGAGTTACTTGATATTTGTAAAAAAATAGTTCCTTGGTCCCATAATACAAGACATTATTACATCCAATATAGGGAGTAGAACAAAGGTTAAGACAGTGTCGTACAACTAGGGTATTAGACGGTGACAGTGGCGTTCCACCGTAAAAATTATATCATTGATCTAGTTGTAAAAAGTTAGAGCACTGATCTATGGGATCAAAGCCCGGTCTTGTATCTTACTAGTTGTAGTGTGGTACCCAGTTAGTAATACACACATTTGTAACCAATGTGAGTACTTCCTCCATCCGGGATTGTTAGTCGGCTCATGCCCACCAGATATTCCTAATTTGACTACCATGAAGAGAAATGGCACCAGAAACAAGAAGAAATAAATATCTAGTAGCAGCACTACATGTGCGCCATTATTGGTACTACGATCGAACTTCCCATGTTCAACACTAAAAAGATGTGAAGTCTGCGGGAGAGAGAGAGAGAGAGAGAGAGAGTTTCTTACTCCTCCTTTGGACCTCCTCGATGTACATCCCATGATCACCTCTTCGAGGCCAGAAGTCGACCGTCCATCGAACTTTCGCGTTTGGTGTGGCCGCTCATCCTCCTAATCACATTCGTTTTGTGTCACAGATTAATCAAACCAAACCGTAAGAATAAAGTGTATATACTTAGGTACAACGCCAAACAAACTGCATGGATCATGCTGGTAAGCTACCTGATTATGGTAGCTCGGTGCCCCATGACCATAGGGCTCCGCCGTCGGCGCCGCAAGCACAACCGAGCCCTGGTGGACAGGCGGCGCCGCAATCAGCGTGGCAATGGGGTCCGTCGGTGTGCTTACGTGGAACGCCGCTGTCGACGAGTGGTGGTGCTCCTGCTGGAGGCCGGCGTAGTGGTGGTGGTGGCGCCGGTGATCGTGCTCGTCCACGACGTGATGCTGCTGCTGGTGGGGGTGCTGATGGTGAAGCGATGCAGGACGATGCAGCACTCCCTCGTCAGCCCTAACTTGCACCACTTGGTGATCTGATCCTCCCATTCCCACCTGCGTGTATACACATTAGCTGTAAATGTTAATACTTGCACGGTATAAATCGTACTGTACGTAATAATTAACTACATTGACAAGTATTCCCTTCGATATTTATATATGGACTGGATTGAAATGAATGAATAAACACAGTAAAATGTGTCCATATACATCAGAAAAAAAGTTAGAACATCTTATAATTTGGAACGGAATGATACTACATGGTAACCCATAACTTAATTTTGTTAGTTCTCTAAGAAAAACTTAATTATGTTACACTCAAGCTTTATTGATGAGTAAACGTCTCACTGTTTGGTAGACAGGGAAAGTGAACAAATTTAGAAAGTAATGCAAGAGATATTATTCTTAGATTTTGTATATGCTGATACATATATAAACATGTGGGTAATGAATAGACTATTCGTGCCCTTAATTAGGGTTGCTTGCTGTGTGGACAAAGTGATGCCCTAATTAAGCACAGTATTTGATACTGTGCAGATTGTGGACTAGGCGTGTAATAGAACTGACCTACAACCAGTTTGTGTACGTCTTCTTACATCTTAATTAATTGCATGGCATGGAAATATGTGTTACTTCAGCATTGCATGCATGCATGTAGGTCAAAGACATCCATCACTTTAGGTAAGATCTCAACCCTAGCTATTACTGTTTTCTTCAAGAATTTCCCTCACCTTACCATTATATTAATTCATTGATCAGATTGTGCTGAATGGACACATTTGCCTTGACACCACAGTGACCCCACAACCCTCCCAAACAAAAACTTTGCATCAAATTCCTACCTACATTTCGTTGATAATGGAAAAGGGAACATTTCATCTCCAAGATACCTTCCTACTTCAAATTGAAATAAAGAAATATGATCAATTTTACAGCATCCAAATTGAAATGAAAAGGACATGAAGCCGATAATGTGAGCAGTTCTGCTGGCTATATAGGTAGGCTGAGGAAGCCGGAATCATACATACTCTATAACTTAGTGAAAGTGCCGTGCATACGACACTTGAGGTTACGATTGCAATATGATGCTTAATCCGGTTGACTCCCTTGCTTTGGGCTGATGCATCAAAGGCCCCCATGTAAGGTTGTACTAAAATCGTACAAGATTTATCGTACGCATAGCAACACTCATAAGATAGCGTGTCTACCAGGACTATTAGTGGAAGCTAGCTATTTAGTTTCTGAAGATTCACATCGGGTTTCCTTTGATGTGCCAATGTGAAAACACACGATGGCATGAGTTATGCCGTAAACATCTATTGTTACCATGTCTTAGTCGCTTCCACGCTACCATATAGCTTGGAAAGCAACACAAATAAGTCATCCCCAAACAAATTTAACCGAATAGAAATCTTCAAAACCACAAAACTTTGAATACAAATTTTATCTATGCCCGGAGAAGCAAAATAAATACCAAAAATACGTGTAACTTATTGTTTAATGTTATATACTTTTTGTTGATATGCAAATCACATTATAATGACTTACATCAGTCGATGTGCTTAAATGTGCTATTTTGTACTCGACAATTCAATATTCATGATGAATGTCGGATCGGTGTTTTTGGTTTGACATTGCTCTTCATGAAAGGTTTTGATTTTGTCATTCCACTCACCCTAGCTGCAAATATATCTCCCAAATTTTGAAAGGAAGAAAAGCATCTAATAATTTAAAACTATGATTTCTTTTCTTGTGTGATTCCTCTAAACCTCTTTGCTCCTCCAACCCACCTATTCTTCCTCCTACCTTATTGTTGGGAAACGTATAAGGAAACTAAGTTCATCGACGTCACGAGGTAAGGGGTCGGCATCATCCAGTTAGCGCAAGTGAGACCCTAGCCCCAAGGGGTGGAGGTCAACAGCTCTAGCCATTATCGTTCTCTTCAACCGCAACTCGGGTCAACCTCCCCACTCCATTTTGCGTCCCTCTGCACATCCCTCTTATTCCCACTTCCTCTCTCTCTCCATCGGGCATGCCCGACCTGCCTCCCTTCCTCTTCTCATATCGACATCGGTTGCATGTAGATCCTGACTTTGTTTTTTTTTCTGAAAAGGAGGACATCCCAATCTAGAGCCGGTAGGTGAGTGTTTCACTCTAAGTTGTTCAATGTGCATTTTCACTTGATATCTTGTCTATTTTTGGATCCCCCCGTCTCTCCCTCCCCTCTCCCCCCAACAATATGTTAGATTGAATGACTAAGGAAATGCCAAATAAAACTTATTTAATCTTTGTGAGGAAGGGCTCGGCATCATCCGTTTAGCGCAAGTGAGACCCTAGCCTCATGGGGTGGAGGTCGCAGCTCTAGCCATCATCGCTCTCTTCAATCACCACTCGGGTCAACCTCCTCGCTCCCTTTTGTGTCCCTCCGCACATCCCTCTTAGGGGGTGTTTGGTTCTGGGACTTTTTAGTCCCAGAGACTAGAAAAAGTCCTAAAAAGTCTCTAGAAACCAAACATGAGGGACTTTTTTTATATGGACTAGAAAAAGACTCTACTAGAGAGTCTTTTTTGATTAGTCCCTGGGACTAGAAAAAGTCCTAGGACTTCTCAACCAAACACCACCTTATTCTCTCTTCCTCTCTCTCCATCGGGCATGCCTGGCCTCCCTCCCTTCCTCCTCTCATATTGACATCGGTTGCGTGTACATCCAAACTGTGTTTTTGTTTCTTCTGAAAAGGAGGGTATCCCATCTAGAGTAGGTAGGTGAGTGTTTCGCTCTAAGTTGTTCAATGTGCATTTTCCCTTGATATCTTGTCTATTTATGGATCCATCCGTCTCTCCATTCCCATCTGCCCCCAACAGTATGTTAGATTGAACGGCTGAGGAAATACCAAAAAAAAACTTATCTTTCATCTAAAAAAACATCTTGCACTCGTGCCGCAAGCCCAAATCCCCCAACTACTACTAGAAGAGAACTACTCCCTCGGTCAAGAGAGGGAGTACTACTAGAAGAGATTGATCAAAACTAACCTCCTCGATGTTGTTTCTGAATTGTGAGAAGCTGAAGTCCTGAATGCGTGTGGTGCCATGGAATGCGGCGTTGACCATGTCGGACGGGGTCATGTGCACCGCCCGTGATCTGCCCGCACCGTCGGCCCTCCTCCTCTCCATGGCGAACGTGCCAGTGCTAGACGCCGGGACTGATGCCGAGGCTCCATCCCCGACGCCGCACTGCCTCGGCTGCGTCTGGTAGAAGATCTTAGATACGACGAGCTCGCCCTCGCGCTCTTCCTCAGACTCGCCGAGGTGATACTGGTGCATCACCCAGTTGGTCTTCTCGGGCTTCCGGTGCTTGCCGAAGTTGGTGTAGAGCACCAAGATCTTCTTGCACCCCCTCTGTCGGCCGCCCACAGCCACCGGCCGCGTCTTGCCAGTCTTGTGCCACCGCGTCTCACTCCGCTGCTGTTGTTGCTGCTGCTGGTGAGCCGCACCCGCAGCTACTGATCCGGCGGAGGAGAGAGCGGAAGCGTCCACGGTTGCCGGCGGCTGGATCTTGCGGCGCTTGCGGGTGCCAGTGGTGTAAGCCTTGGACGGCCGGTGGAAGAAGTGCCTGCTCAGACCGTCCTTGGACACACCTGCATGAGCATGGCCATGGATGTCAGGACGTGCATGCCACCCGAGGATTAGTCATGTCTGTTTTGGTTGGACGACTTTAAGAAAAACATGACTTTGGAAAAAAAAAGCGAGAAAAGAGACAGTGATGCAGCTATGCAACATCACCCCGTCGGCTGTTGGAGGATATAACAACCTTGAGAGGGGGACAAAACCTAACTTTGGAAGCTAGGGGCAGATCTCATGTCACATTTCATTCTAGAGAGAGAGAGAGAGAGAGAGAGAGAAATATGCCATGGCCATTAATGTCGTACGTGCAGTACCGAGAGATATGGGTGTACAATATTTTCTTCCTTTTGTTCCAAGATTCCTACAGTGCACTTGAAAATCTACCAGTAATATACTTTTCATATGTATGGAGATACGCGCATCAAGTATTCAAATGCAAAGCAAATCCCAGAACACGAAAGACAGGATGGTGAATGTATACACAATAGAACAGCGAGAACATAAAAAAATAACGAGAACAAAAAAAAGAGCCTGAGCTACGAAACAAGAAACTGAAATTGCAGAACTCCAAAAACTAAAACATTGTATTTCGAGAAAATATTCCTGACAGAAGAAAGCACTTTCAAGAGATTGGAAACGTACGGTGGGTAGCTAGAAACAGATGTTCTAGATTTATAATATAATAAGTTACTACGCTATAAGTTAACTTCCCGGCAATAGAAAAAACTATGCAAATTAACCTGGCAGTTTCTCCGGGTGGGTGTAACAGATGCCATCCTCCCCCTCAATGGTGGGTATGAACTCGTCGATGAGAGGGTGAGACGGGGCTGCCACGGCCGCCGTGCCGCCGGACTGGACTTTCGCCTCTAGATGCTCGATCAGCTCCTGGTCCGTCGGGTCGAATTTCACCCCGGCCGGCAGCCCCACCCAATCCTGCGGGCAACATACATATACACAATGAATCAACAGAAAGAAGGCCTATAGCAGAACCGAAATTGTCACGGGCCGAGATCGTGCGTATGTACCAGCTTCTGGTCGATCTTGTGGCCGCACCTGGGGCAGCAGCTCGACTCCGACATGTACTTGCGGTGCTCCTCAATCCTCGATCCGATGAGGTGGTGGCCGCCGCTGCTTGTACCTCCTCCTGTCGTTGCCGTTGCACCATCGTCCATGTCTCAGTCGTCACCTCAGTTACTCCTGCCAAGGGGACAGTAGCACCTTGCCTGGCTATCTTCCCTGCCTAAGCATGATCACATGTAAGAGAGAGGATTATTCACAGGGTGGAGGGAGGAGGAGAAGGAAGAAGAGGTGGATGGAGACAGGAGAGATAGGGGTGGAGAGGAAAGGGAGAGACCGGCCGGGGGGAGGGGGTGGTGAAGGGGGTTTTGAGGAAGTAATAAAGATTTGGAGACCAGAATTCCATGTGTATATCGCTTTAACTGAAGGGGTAGAGAGAGAGAGAGAGAGAAAGGAAAAGGTTCTCCAGGTACGCACGAAACACCTTTGGACACACGCTAGATCAAGCTGTCCCTCCCTATAACTCCACCTATTTCATCTCCCAAAAAAATAAACCGCCACCTGTCTCTAGAGAGATACTACCCTCTTTTCCGGTCCTCTTTTCCAGTTTGTAAGGCTTACTCGTTTCCATTTAAAAAAATAAAACCGTTTCAAAAAGAAAAAGACTTTACTCGTTTCCCGTATCTCTAGGTTGACGATTTGACCAACATAATACGAGTTATATTTCACCAAAAAAAATATACCATTAAAAACTTCAAAAGTTATATTTCTAATGATATAATTATTATAATATACAATTCATATTAAGTTGGAAAGACTAACAATCTAGGAGTATGCCCTGGACTTGTAAACTGGAAAGGAGGTAGTATGTCTCTGCTATGCATGCACACTTCTATTGCTCACTTAATGCTGCTCCTAAATATAAAATTAATTCAGTTGATACTAGAGTGATACTCAAGGCTAATATGAATCACAATTTTGGGCACTGTATTTTCTAAATATAGGATACATTGCAGTATTGGTTGGCGCAGTCATCCTAGAATGGTTCGAGAAAATTGGAATGTTTTTATATTGGACATATTGCAACGTTTTGGATATATTAATTCTTATACTAAATAGTTTTACTGGCACAAAATTCAGAAGAAATAATATTATTATAACATAAACACATGTTACATGCTAGTAAGTGTTTTTTTGCGGGTGCTATATGTGTTTTATATGAATAGGATAAGCCCTTTGTGCCAGCTATATTACAAACCTCAGTTAGATATAAAGTAAACTCTAAGTCACCAACTATTTTGTATTATTGTAAGGTGTCCATGGTGCCGAGATTTATCTTTGGCCAATAATTAGTTAAAAATATGAGGATATTCATATGTGAGAACTAACTATTGGTCAGACTAGAATAAGTCATGGAATTGTCCACCTTACATTTCTTGGTGGAGAATTGTTGTGAAACTTATGTTATTCAGGAATGGAATATCTATTTAATTAAAACACTAAATGTTGAAATGTTGAATTATTTGTGTTACATGTAAAGGTGAGCTAGAAAAACTCTCGTAGAAAGAAA